GCCCTCCCCCAAAACGGGAAACCCTATGATTAATCATGAACCCTAAGCCCTAAACCCTAAACCCTAAACCCTAAACCCTAAACCCTGAACCCTAAACCCTGAACCCTAAACCTGAACCTTAAATCCTACAAATCCCTACAAACCACAAACCCGGAGCCCTAAACCCTGAACCTTAAGCCCTAAACAGGCCTAGAAACCTTGCACCCGTAAAACCTTACCAGGTCTGGATCTTGGCCCTGGCCGGTCTTGCTGCGTTGGTGCTTTCGGCGATGACTCAGGGTTCTTAGGGGTTTAGGGTTTGAGTTTTGAGTTTATGGTTTAGGGGTTTAGGTTTTAGGGGTTTAGGGTTTAGGGTTGACGATTCAGGGTTTAGGGCTATGACGTTTTCGGAGCCCCCCTGAGATGTTGAGAGGGGCGTGGGCGGTAGGCTGCACCGTACGTGCTAGTCGACACTCACTCACTCGCTAGGGTTTGGGGCCCATGATATCTGTTTTTTTTTTGGAGCTTGCCGGGTTTCTAGGGGCATAGGGGCCTTGTAATATAGGAGCCTCAGCACAGAGTACAGACGATGCCGGTACAATCTCTGCCTACTTACAGTCCTTCAAGTTTTTCTCTGCCAGGGCACATGACCGTCTTCCCTAAACCCTATATTCTAAACCCAGAGCCCGAAACCCCTAAAATGAAGTCACGTAGCATCGCATGACATGATGCACGTAGCCATGGCATTGCTTGTCATACCATCGCATTACTTCATGTTCACCATATATATATATATATCATATCGTCTAGGTTTAGGGTTTCTCGGGTTTAGGGACCTGAATGTCCGCACAAGCAGGAGTAGAGAGAAAACGAGATGCGAGTTGCTTAGGCGAGCACATGGCAGAAAACCTCATCCGCGTCCGTGAGATTCTGCTACAGTATGCCGTTGCATGTTTTGCTCAGAGGTCATCTACCTTTGGCCGCTGGTCCAATGGCAGAGAGATCGGCAGAAGCATGGTCAAGAGGAGGCGCGGACCGCAAGCACAAGCGCGACTGGAATCCGGAAAACCCCGGCGCCCTAAAGCCCCACTGGTCTGACGTAGCCACCTGAAACCCAGAGCCTCTTCGGCGCATTAAGGATGTTTCATGGCTGCATGCGCTCCGGGCAGCACCGCATTTTTTTTAGTCCTTCAAAGGCTGAACCGTCTCTTCATCACATCAAGTCGTACCGATGTCTTTTGATGGTTTTATCTTGGCATAATGCCAATGTGGAGTGCATCCAATTGTATCATAGTAGTAGATTCAGCAGATGGAAACATATGTCGCAAATCTTGTAGGACGTCATAGTGCGACTGCTATCATCGCTCTTGTGATTGCCGTAGCCTTGTATTTGTTCGGTACTGTCAGTATCCTAGTGGCAAACACCTGTTTGCAGAGCATCTCTAACTCTATCTTGGTTTTCGTCACATCCCTAAACCCTAAACACTAAACTCTAAACCCTCAACCCTATTCAATAAATGATATTCCCCCTGACGCTCTAAACTCCACAGACCCTTAAACACCGCCCTGACGTCTGTCAAGCATGCCCTAAAATCGTGAATCCCTACTCTGAACCTAAGACACCAAAATCCCTCTGATACCCTCGATCCGACTTATTAATCCTGCAAAATCCGTACAACCACCAAAAACACCCTAAACCCTAAACCACAAAAACGATCCCAGGCCGCGGCTCTTCAGAGAGCACGGCTCGCCAAGTTCTGCTCCGTCCCGGAGCCCACGCCGCGGCGTGGGAGCCCTTCGCGCGACCGGGGCTCCGGCTGTGAAGGGAGCTCTTGGAAGGATCGCAGGGTTCGGACGGTTTAGGTTGAGGCTTTCCGGGTCTAGGGCTTGAGGGCTTCGGGTTTTGTTTGCTTTGGTTGGGCTTAGGATCTTAGGATGTTGGGGTTGCGGGGTTTGGGCAATTCCTGCCATAATCGCTTCTTCTACTACTTGAGAACCAAAACTCAACCAACGAATCTGAGTTCCAGGAGTTTGAGTCCCCGCCTGTGCCGGCGGGTCACGGCACCGCGGCCGAGATCTTCGCTGTGGCGGAAGGGCAGGAGGACGTGCACGAGGACATGCAGGAGGAGTTGCAGCCGGACGCTCGGGATTCTGCAGGGTGCCAGAGGGCTGCGAAACTCAATGCGTTGAACCCAGAGTATGTAGCAGGATCTTCAAGGTTTGGGGCTTTAAGTGTGCGATTTGGGGTTTAGGGTTTGGGTCTGTAGCTCACCGTCAAGACTCCCTAAAGCCAAGTTCGGACAGACCCAACAGCAGCAGCGCGCCCATGCCCCTCAGGGTTTCGGGTTTAGGGCTTAGGGGTTTAGAAAGCCCAAAATATCCCCAAATCTGCGAGGCTGGAGTACATTCCCCTATATCAGCCCAAAACCCTGAACCCCTAAAGCTCATCAACACTGTAGCGCAGCTGAATGCCGGTATTGGTTACCAAACCTCCTTGAATACAACCGTGCGCATAATCATAATCATAAACACTAGTAGTAAATAAATAGTACTGCTGCTGCCACTGCTGCTCCTGCTGCCGCTGCTGCTCCGCTGCTACTGCTACTGCTACTCCTACTGCTGCTGCTACTGCTACTGCTACTGCTACTGCTACTGCTGCTACTACCACTACTACCACTACTACTACTACTACTACTACTACTACTACTAATACTAATACAAATACAAATACTACTA